ATGGGTGTGTCAGAGGCGGTGCAGTTGGCGCAGGATAGAGCAGGGTTTAGGGCTGTTGTGCATAGGGTCGCTATGAGTCGGAAACGACTCGATGGCACATAACAACAACAACCTCATTATCTAAGATCAATTCTTCCCATGGCAGTTGCTGAACCTACGCTTCATTTTAAGACCCTAAAGTTAAAAGGTTTTGTGTGTGAGACAAAAAAAAAATTTCAAATGGACTCACTTTAGATAATTCCATTTTGTTGGTAACATCCAAAGCCTCATAGTCAGGAATAAGTAAAATATAAGTCTTCTTCTCTCCATCAGGCCTAATCAAGGTGTTGACCTTGGCCACATCAATGTCATAGAGTTTCTCTACAGCTTATTTGCTTTAGTGCTTTTTGGCCTTGACATTCACAGCGAGCACAAGTGTGTTGTTATCTTCTATCTTCTTCATGGCTGACTCAGTAGTCAGGGGAAACTTGATGATGGCATAGTGGTCAAACTTATTTCTCCTGGGGACACTCTTCTAGGGGTCTTTGGGCTCAGCATCTTAGGCCACCTGAAGGTGGGCGACATGCGGATTTTCTTTTTTTGTGTCTGTGGATGCCCTTCAGGAAGACACCTTCTTGGCCTTTAATGCCTTTGCTTTGGCTTCAGTTTTGGGAGGTGAGGGGCTTTCCTCCTTGCCATCTTCATCGAAAGGCAGAACAAAAAATTTGGAATGCTGAAACCTCTGGGCTTTAGTTGCTTAAATTAGTTGTCAAATACTTTTAAAAGTATTGTTTTCCTCTATGTTTTTGTTTTAAGTTTGCATTCGGTAGGAGGATTGAACTTGAACCAGGTGCCTGTCTCTCCTTAACTTTTACCTTTGACTGTGGGAGCTAAGAAGAGGTTTCCCACAACTCCTTGGGTTTCATTTATATCCATCTCTGCTCTAACTAACAGCATTCCTCCAGATAATTAGCATCAATCACCCTAGCCAATAGTTGTTGTGCTCTGTGTTGTCAAGGATTTATTTTCAAGATAGCTTTCCTAGCCACTGATTTTGACTTTGCCACATGGATGGGTGGGATCATACAAATATGGGGTGTTAATCTATCCACAAAGGGACTGACTAGTTTCATCATCACCTATAGAATTCCCACTGCTGTTGCCAACATTTTGTCTTCTCTGATTTGGGATTGAGAGGGATTCTGGTGGCTCAGTACTAAGGTGTTGTGCTGTCAACTCAAAGGCACGTGGTTCAAATCTATCTTCTGCCCTGCAGAAGCAAGATGGGCAATCTCTTCCTGTGCCATTTACTGTCTCTGAAAACCCGCTAGAGCACCAGCTATGGTCTTCTAGCATACAACAGCAACAACAACATCTTGGTTGAAGCCAGAAGGACCCAGAGGAGGAACCATCGTACCTCTTGGGTCTGTATGCTGAGCAAATCATTTGAGAATCTGAACTCTATGAAAAAGAATGTGACATCAGAATTGGAGGAAGACTCAACAGTCTGCTTTATGCAGATGACACCGTTTTGCTTGCTGAAAGTAAAGAGGACCTGAAGCACTTTGCTGCAGAAGAGCAAGAACTACAGCTTTCAATACGGATTGCATCTCAACATCAAAAAGACCAAAATCTTCACCACTCAACCAATAGGCAACATCATGATAGATGGAGAAAAGATCGAAACTGTCAGTGATTTCATCTTACTTGAATTTACACTTAAACATCCTTGGTGCCAAGGACTAAGGAGTTCAGACTTGTTGCACTGGGAAAGTCTGTTGTCAGGGACCTCTGCAAAGTCCTGAAGAGCAATGACGTCTGTTTGAAGACCAAACAGCACCTGATTCAAACCAAAAATCCTTTAAATCACGTGCTATGCTTCTGAGAGCTGCGCAGTAAGTAAGGAAGACGGAAGAATTGTTGTCTTCAAGTTAATGTTGTTGGAGGAGAGTACTGAATATTCCATGAGCTGACTAAAGAACAATTATGTCTTGGGGAAAAAAAAATGCTGCCAGACTGGTCCTTGGAAGTATGGATGGCAAAGCTTTGTCTCAGATACTTTGGATACGTTGTTAGGAGGGGGGATTCCTTGGAAAGAGACATCATGCTTGAAAAGGTCAGCAGCGAAGGAGAGGTGAACTGACAAAGCGACTACAGTAATGAGCTCTGGTATGTCAGAGATAACAAAGGTAGCACAGGTTAGGAAATGGTTCAGATTTGTTGTTCTTAGGGTCACTATGAGTCGTACTTGACTCCACCCCACCTAGTAACAATATACTGGTTGGGGCCAATCCTACCTGTCTCCAGCGGCTGGTGCTACTGTAAGAGACGGGATTAGAACCCAGGCACTTGCACGCGTCTGCGCGTCGGACCGCGGCTTGGCTGCAGAGCCCCGCGGAGGTGGTTTTCCTGTGCTGGCTCTCGGGCGCGCGCCCGCATGGCGCCTGCGCAGAAAGACGTGGGACAAGCGCGCCCCGGGGCGGTCCCGGCGCATGCGCGCTGCGGGCTCCGGGTCCTCCCGGCCCGAGGGAGAGGAGCAGGGAAGATGGCGGCCGTGGTGGAGAATGTCGTGAAGCTGTGAGTGGCCGTTTGTTTCTCTCGTGGCTCTGGGGGTCGTGGGAGGGCGGTGGGAGTGGGGGCGGTGCAGGAAGGGGACGAGCCAGAGGGGAAACCATGGCCGGAAAGGACAGGACGGCACTCCGAGCGGGGAGGGCAACAGGAGACTGCGGGGGAGACCTTGCGCTTCTTTGGAAACTTGTGGAGGCCCCGAGCGGACAAGCGGGAGCCCCTGACGGACAGCTGACCGGGGAGGCTGGTGGCCCGAGTGTCCCCTCTGGCCCGTCGGCACCCCGAGTAGGACGCCCTTGTCACCCAGGGATCCCCTCCGAGGCGCCCCGCCGGGCCGACTGTCCCCGGGAGCAACAGGCTCGGAGCCCGGGGGGACAGGGGGTGTCGCCGTGCGCCCCCAGCCCCGCACGTCGAGGGGCGCGGTGGCGGGGTCACGGGGTTTCCAGCGTCCTGGGGACGACCGTGTGGGGAGCAGCGGGCCTTTGTGCCGGCCCGGGAATGACCGGAAGCGGTCCCGGTCCGCGCAGCCTGAAGGACAGTCCGGCTCCGGGTCCCCGGTCCTGGAAGACAGCGGGATGGGGGCACAGTGCAAGCTGTGGGGGGCTGGGGGCTGCTGGCTCTGAGTTTAAAGGCGCTTTATTTAGTACTGGGTTTGACCGCAGCAGGGAGATCCGAATGAGTTTAGGAAAGGCGCAGTGCCTCGCGGGGCGGGGGTCGTTGAGTGCCCGTCCACTCCCTGCCCACCCACGGTGGCCCCGGCTGTCACTGTCACACCGATCAGGAGCGATGATCCTGCAGGCTGCCAGGCCTTTTCTTCCGCGGAGCCTGTCAACCATGCAACCCTTTTCCCTTAGGGCTTAACCATTTGCGCCACCACGCCTCCCTGGAGAACCTCTTATTGGACAGGAAGGAATGTTAGGAAGCAGCTGTCAAGCCCGGGCTTTGGGATTTTGACTGGGTGGAAAGGTGCACTTTTGAGACCTTATTCTTTAAGGATCTCACAGCTTCTCATCCGCCTCGAGCCCTGTTCTTCCCAAGAGCCTTTTATGAAGCATATTGCTTCTCCCCCCCTGCCTGGAGCCTTTTCTTTGAGAAAGCTTTCCCACTTCCATTAAGCTAAGTGGCTTCTCCTCTTGTGGTTCTTTTTTTTTCATCCCCCTTTTAATTTGCTTTCTGCTCTATTCTGCTGCCTCTCTCAGCCACCCCTCCTCCCAGCACCATTATCTGTCTCTCTGATCTGCCCACTCCAGTTTCCCCTCTCTCTGCTCTCTCCTCAGACTGGCATTTTCCTCAATTTAGAAATGATGTTGTTGATCTTACCTCTTAATGGAGTTATCCGTCCTGGCTAGGATGTTGTGTTTTTGTTGCTCTGGCCTTCCCCTGTTTAACTCTCAGTTTCATGCTTAATAATAATTATTATTATTCACCCTGCTCTTCTAGGGAATCTTTCTGTACTGGAGAAATGTCAGGTTTGCCAAGGTTTTGAGTAATACGTCAGGAAGGTTTGGATACTTCAAGTATTTCTTCAGGGAAATAGGTAGTTGGTAAAATAGTGGTTTGCCTACTTAAAATAGGATATGACTTCTAATTTGTCTTTAAAGAGCTCTGGAGATTGAAGGTGACAAATGCCATTAATGAGAGTACCAATAACAAGAAACCAGGTGTCTCTTCCTCAGTCTAACTTCAGAGGACCACGGCTAACACATTCCAGGCAGAGTTTTCTCCTTAACAAGGCGCCGCCTCTCTGCCTGTGCCTTCTCACCAACTTCTCTTCTGGTGCTTCTCTTGATTATGACTCACCTGTTTTCCGACACCTGAAGCTGTCCATTGAGGTCAGGGAATTTGCATCTTGTACTGGGTGAATTCTATTTGTCAAGTCTCTATGTCTCCCAAATGTGATATCAGAAGTAAAACAATCTTTAAGGGTTTGTAAAAAAGTCATTGTCAAGTCAATTCCAACTCGTGACAGCCCTTTAGGACAGACTAGAGCTGCCCCCGAAGGGTTTCTACAGCTGTAAATCTTTACATCCGTCTTCCATGGAGTCACTTTTTGAAATGCCACTCAACCCCCGAGAGCATTTACAGAACACCTCTCATCCATTCTCCCCTAAACTGCTTCCAACCTTCTTGTTCTTGGCTTGGCAGCAGGCTTCAAAACTATTCATTCTGGTTTGTTCATAGCCAGTAACACCAGGACAGACCAAATTTATAAAATGTGAGTGATGAGATGATGACTGAGTGGGAAAATTTACAAGCGGGTGCCCTGGTAGATACCTAATCTCCCTCTGAGAAAACAAGGGCAATGTATTCATCGCATAGCAACCAAATCTCTTGACTGGCAGAGTAAGAAACAGTGGTCCCCTGCTCAGAGATGACGAGTGGACCATGCTGGCTTGAATGTGTGTTGCTCTCCCCAATCCTGGGACTCTTCCAGCCGTCTGCATCAGGCTCCTGAAAGGGTTCATTACTTGCAGGTCTTCCATTCTAGGGAGCCACTCCATCATTTTCTCCATTCTGGTTATCTTCCAACACGCCTGCCTTTTACAGATTCATAGCTGTTCTGAGTCTTCTTCTTTGACCATACACCTGAACTGGTTTGAGCCAGTTTCAAGCTCTGTTTACAACTCAGCAAGTCTAGCCCTTCTTGCATTTGGCTTTCAAGTGTCACTATCGGTTCCCATCAGCAGAAACAAAGGAGCTGCTGCACTCAGACTTGTTTATCCAATTTTCCTCAGCGGAGTGCGGACAAGGCTGCCTCCTAAAGGCGAGCAAATGTGAGCCTCTGCCGTCTGCACTCTCCAACACAGGATTTGTTCCTGCCTCAAATTACAGTAATTACCGCTCATTGAATCAAGCCAGTCTGTACCTCTGTTGCTGCTGCCTCTGCGTGTGGTGTGTCTTTTTCAGGTGCTGGAAGCAACACACTAAGCTGTGCTGTCTCCTGCAGCAACTCCATGAAAGTCTCTTTTGATTCCAGAACAGTTTGTTGAAGTAGTTCAAGTTGTGAACATTAACAGCAGAGACTTACGCTGTCAAGTTCTGGTGAATGTCTCCCTAAGCAGAAAATTGTGTTGTGGCGGAGCCTATCTAATCCAAACACTTTAAGCTAGAGAAAAAGAGCCTGAAGTCCACTTGAGTCAACTTGGGTCCACTCTTAAGTGGTATCTTGTCGCCAGACTAAGTCAGGTCCAAGTACCAGACACCTACAGGAGTCCTGGGTACAGCTGGAAATGAATCCACCTTTGCCTTTGGTTTATTTTACTCTTAATCAAATGTGAATATGAATGGTTATAGGTGTTTTAAGTTCTAATACCAAAATACTGGATAAACCCTGAAGTGTGAGAACACGATTGCTTCCCTGTACATGTTTCTTACAGCCAGATAAAGCCTAGTGTTGTATAGTTTTGCAGCCTGTAAAGCACTTACAGATTTGCACTTGGTTCAGATTTCAAGCTATTCAAGTGAAACCTTTTAAATCCAAGAAGCTTCTTTACTTTTTAATTCAGAGGTGTAGGGATGGAGAAAGGTCTGGGATGGGCCTTCAAGCAAGCCAGCCTCCTGCATGTCATGGCTTGAGGAGAAAGTTGAATGATGTGCAGTTGCTTCCTCTGACTAAGATCAGCATCAAGAATTTATTAGAAGTTGACTAAATACCCAGTTCAAGATTCCAGGCTTCTAATAAGGTATCAAGGTGGAAGTACCTATGTCACTTGATTTTCCTCTTTGGAGATCTGCAGTCTCTTATCTCCTCACCACCACCTCCACCCCCTCCATAGTTATAAGAAACACAACCCTATAACATTTCTCAAAACTTTATTCTTAGGGAGCTCTGGTGGTCTAGTGGCAAGAAGGTGCATTGCAATCCCAAAGGTGCACGGTTCGAATCCACCAGATGCTCTGCTGGAGAAGGAGGGGAAATCTCCTTCTGTACCAGTCAGATCCAATTTGATGGCGCACACACACACAAGTAATTTTTTAAAAAAACCAAAAAACCCACTTTATTCTTTTTTTCCTATTTATTTTGGGTATTTTACCATTTCAGGATATGAAGGGTTTCCTTTTATTTGTACATAAGCAGAATTTCATTGTAGAGATAAATTATAATTAGCCAAAGTCCCCAATGCTAGGTTGAAATTTCAACATTTGTAAGAAGGGGCTAACAATCTCATAAAAGAATAGGCAGACTGCTCCTTCAGAGAGGGAGTGATGGACTGCACCTCACGTACTTTAAACATGTAATCACGAGGGACCGTGGAGGATTCATGCTTGGGAACAGTGTCTGCAAGAAAGGGAAGACTCTCAGCTCAGTGGACTAGTGAGGAACACAACGAGGGTGACCGCACCGATGGCCTGGAGCACGGAGAGCGTGACTATAGTGAGGGGCTAGAGGAGCATGGAGAGGGTGACCGCACTGATGGGCTGGAGCACAGAGAGGGTGGCCGCACTGATGGGCTAGAGCACAGCACAGAGAGGGTGACTATAGTGAGGGGCTAGAGGAGCACAGAGGGTGACCGTAGTGAGAATTTAGAGCACAGCTCAGTGAGGGTGAGTGTAGGTGAGAGATTGGAGCACAGCACAGCAAGGTTGACTGCATTTAGAAGTTGGAACACAGCACAGTGAGGGTGACTGCAGTGAGAGGTTGGCGCTTGGAGAGAGTGACTGCAGTGGTGGGCTGGAGCACGGTGAGGGTGACTGCTGTGATGGGCTGGAGCACGGTGAGGGTGACTGCTGTGATGGGCTGGAGCACGGTGAGGGTGACTGCTGTGATGGGCTGGAGCACGGTGAGGGTGACTGCTGTGATGGGCTGGAGCACGGTGAGTGTGGCTGCAGTGAGAGTTTGGAGCACAGCACAGTGATGGTGATCACAGTAATGGGTCAGAGTATGGCAAGGGTGACACAGTGATTCTGAGGGTGACGAGGGTTCAAGCACAGTGATAGTTCAGAACCTGTCATGTTTCCTTTCTGTTGTAAGTGGGATAGGTAGAGTCAGAAGTGACTCGACAGAACCTAACAGAAGCAGTAGCAACATCTGCTTCCTCTCCTGTGAGCATTGAGAATGATAACTAGCACAAGGCTGGGTCCAGAAGAAGCATCACAGAATGAACATTCATTTCTTTCTCTATGGATTCAGATTTCCTTCTGATTAGATGCATGATGAAATTGTATGTTCTAGACTGTAACTTATTTATAAAGTGTGCTTCCTTTTGATGGCCTAGTGGAAAGGCTTAGTGTCCCATGAGGCAGAAATGAAGGCAAATAACTGATGATACAGTCTTCTAGCCCCTCGAGCCTTTTAGAGAGCAGATGGTAAGGGAGAGGAATAGGTCACCACACCCCCCTCACCACACACAGCCCTCTCTCTGATCTGTGTCTTTCCTGCAGCCTCGGGGAGCAGTATTACAAAGATGCCATGGAACAGTGCCACAATTACAATGCCCGCCTTTGTGCTGAGCGTAGCGTACGCCTGCCTTTCTTGGACTCACAGACTGGAGTAGCACAGAGCAACTGCTATATCTGGATGGAAAAGCGACACCGGGGTCCAGGTGAGGGGCCAGATTTGGGAGAAGCAGGCTCAGGTGCACATGGAAGAAGGGCCTCCTCAACATAGGTAATGAACCAGCAAGGTTGTCTCCCTCCTGCCTTCCACCTTTGATGAGTATGGTCTTTTCAGGATTGGAAGCCCAGGAACAATAAGTAGATAGATGCAGCTAGAATCTGCTTATGCCATACTAAGTTTATTGCTGGACTTGAAGCCAGGTTGCTTGAGCCTACATCCATTTCTCTTTTCCATAAACTGCCCTCTCCTGTCCCAGACCCTCACTGTCCGGATTCCTCCCTTAGGCTGCACTCACGGTGGGGGCCTGCCAGTCTGGATAGTGTTTCAGTGCTTTTTTCAAAGCTTTAGTTGGTGCTTGACTTATCTTTCTTCCTCACAGGGTTGGCCTCTGGGCAGCTGTACTCCTACCCTGCCCGACGCTGGAGGAAAAAGCGACGAGCCCACCCGCCAGAAGATCCTCGACTCTCCTTCCCATCCATTAAACCAGGTGAGGCCCACCCCTCCCTGCTGCATGTTCCAGGCCCTGTGCTGCATCAGGAAGGTCCTGACGTGAAGTAGATGTGATTCCTTCCTTTAAATAACTCAGTGGAGTAGAGAGGCAGACAGATAATGTTGCTGTGACCTGGGGTCTTTGTGTGGTGGGCCTCTGGCTAGCCCAGCACTATGCAGATCCCGGGCGGTCTGCTCTCAGCCCTGCTAAGCCTCGCTCTTCATGCCCTGGCTTGTAGACACAGACCAGACCCTGAAGAAGGAAGGCCTTATCTCTCAGGATGGCAGCAGTTTAGAGGCTCTCCTGCGCACTGACCCTCTGGAGAAGCGAGGTGCCCCAGATCCCCGAGTTGATGATGATAGTCTGGGCGAGTTTCCTGTGACCAACAGTCGGGCTCGGAAGGTACACAAGCTTCATGTTTGTAGTGCAGGGAACAGAGGTGGGTGCAGCCTCCTCTTTATGAGGGGCTGCTCAGTAATTAAATCTGGAGCAGAAGCCGGGGGCCAGTGGCATGGTTCCTAGGGGACTGTCCTGCTGTGGGTCCCAGTGGGCACTGGAACTGACTAGCTTCTCTCTCCATGGCCTTCCCTCTTACTTGCTGTGCTCCGTGACAGGCTGTCACTTTTTCATCCTTTTTTTTTTTTTTAATTATTTTTGTGTGCATGTACCGTCAAATCAGATCTGACTGGCACAGGAGGAGATTGTCCCTCCTTCCCCGGCAGAGCATCTGGTGGATTCGAACGGTGCGCCTCTGGGATTGTAGTTGCAATTCCTTGCCACTAGGCCACCAGAGCTCCCCCTCATTCATCCTTTTTTGTCCAAAAACTTTGTGGTGCCTGTGAGTGTCATTGCTTTATGAAGTAGGTACTCCACTCCAGGTGGGGAGATTAAAGCAGAGCATTTAGAACCTTGTCTCATGACCACACACAAACCAAGCAGTAAAGCTCTAATTAATGTACACCTAGGAGGGGTGCTGCCGGAAGGAGACCTGATTGCGCGCTGTGATGGTGCAGATACAGGAAGGTGATGTCTGCTTAGGCCTCAGGGAAATGATATGAAACATGGCATTTTTTGGTCTCTTGGATATAAAGTAGGGGACTATATAAAGTGAGGCTCAGAGCCTTAGTGGGGGGCTGAAGAGCAGTGGTGAGGATGGAGCAGGAGTTGGTGGAGGGCCAGGTGGCCTTGGCCGGGTCTGTTGTGGGGGGTCTTCTACGTGCACATTATTCCCATCTGTCTTATTCTTCCTGTCCACTTAGCGGATCCTAGAACCAGATGACTTCCTGGATGACCTTGATGATGAGGACTATGAAGAAGACACCCCAAAGCGTCGAGGCAAAGGCAAAGCCAAGGTCAGGGGCTAGGGGCTACCTGCAACCTGGGGCATTTTTTTTTTAAGTGAGATTAGCAGCCACAGGACAGATTAGCTGCTTGGCCTGGACATTTTAGGGAGAACTCTTTTTTTTTTTTGTTCTCCCTGGCAGGGTAAAGGTGTGAGCAGCGCCCGTAAGAAGCTGGATGCTGCCATCCTGGAGGACCGGGACAAGCCCTATGCCTGTGACAGTGAGTGCCTCACAGAGGAAGGACGCCTTGCCTTGGACTCGGCTCCTGCTCGGAACATGCAGTGGGGAGGGGTGTGGCCAGCCAAGCCTGGCTGCTTGTCCTGTTGCTCACTGAGACCCCTGGGGGGCCCTGCCTGTGCCACACGACGGGTGGGATGTGCATGCTGGTGTGAGCTTGCCGCTTCCCTCTGGCAGTGACTGCAGGAGCCAGGTTAGCCTCTTCTAGAGATGGCGTCCAGGTCTGCTGGCCCCAGTCAGTCCCGGGCCCCAGGGGTCCACACGGAGTTGTCCAATGTCTGTTTGCCCCCTACCTCACTGGCTCGCCCAGCTCTGTCCCTCCACCCTGGGGTCTCTCTCGTTTGCTCCACTTTCCTGCTGCTGCTGCTGCTCCTGTCTCAAGTTATCAAGACCTTCCTCTCACGACTTTTCTTTCTGTCTTTCAGATAGTTTCAAACAAAAGCATACCTCGAAAGCGCCCCAGAGAGGTAGCTCTCTCAGCTTTTCAGACTTGGGGTTTTTCCTGTCCCTCTCCCTCCTCCCTTTCCTCCTGCCTTTCTGCTTCTTGTGATGCTAGTTTTAAAATCTCTGGAAAGGAATGGCATGGGAATAGGAGTAGTGGAACATTGCTGCTCCTCCACTCTGCAAGGTCCTGACAGGTGGCTTTACCGCTGCCGTCTCCCACAAACTTATTTCATGGCCAGGTGGAGTCACACACGTGGGGTGTCTTCAGAAGCGTTACAGGAGTCTGATAAGAGCAGGTCCTTCTGCTCCCTTTCCACCCAGACAGAAGTCAGTGGATGTATCCACTGCCCCACCACCCCCTGCTTCCTCCTATCCTCTCTCCCCTCCCTTCCCTGCTGGCCCCGTGCCCTCCTCAGTATCACTGCCCAAGATTTTGGTAATTGGCCTTTCTTGCTGGTAATGGAGGCCGACAAGGCATTGATACAGGGTGTGCATGTTTCTTTGGGGACCTAATTCCCTGCCAGACTCGATTCATAGCTTCTTCCCAAGGAATCATCCCCACCCCTCCTTTCTCCACATCTGGGATAACGTGCACTTCCCATGTTTCCCAAGGATACAGAAACAGAGTCACTTCCTTATCTTTTCCTGCTAATTTGGAAGAATATAGACATTCCCTTTTCTTGACCCAGGCAAGTGGTGGGCCAGAGGGTAAGATCTCCCAAAAGTCCATGTGACGAGACCCTACTGTGGTTCCCATGGCACTGTATTCAGGAGGTAGAAGGGCCCCAAAGGTGGAGAGGCCTGGCACCCAGTGCTTCTGGCTAGGCCGTGGGAGCTGTCCCAGGACAGAGCTGATAGGGTGATGAGGGTGGTTGCCTCCCGCCTTGGCCAGCACACTCAGGTCCTAACACCTTTTTCTTGTTGCCTTCTCCCTGCTCAGTTTGTGGGAAACGTTACAAGAACCGGCCAGGCCTCAGTTACCACTATGCCCACTCCCATTTGGCTGAGGAGGAGGGTGAAGACAAGGAAGACTCTCAGCCTCCCACGCCTGTTTCCCAGAGGTCCGAGGAGCAGAAATGTAAGCTGAGGTGGAGAAGGTGGTAGGCATGCCGGGTGGGCCTGCTGAGGAAGCCCCTGCTGTAGGACGGTTGATGCACCCAGAGGCTCTGTAGGCATCATCCACGCTCTTCACTCTTCTCTGTCTCCCTGTAGCCAAGAAAGGCCCTGATGGATTGGCCCTCCCCAACAACTACTGTGACTTCTGCTTGGGGGACTCGAAGATCAACAAGAAGACCGGACAGCCTGAGGAGCTGGTGTCCTGTTCCGATTGTGGCCGCTCAGGTACCTCCGCCCACTCACACGTTGCTGATGGGCTCACACTCTCACCATCTTTCTCTCTGTGTGTGTATGTGAGAGAGAGAGGAGTAAGGGACAGGGGGTTAAGAGCCTCAATGAGGTGGATTGGCGTAGTAGCTGCAGCCATGGACGTGAACATAGCCAAATTCCAAGACGTTGCAAAACAGTTTTTGTTCAGTTGCATTGCATGTGGGGTAGCCACGAGTCAGGCTTGACCCAATTGATAGCGAACATCCGCAACAACAGTTTGCTTGCTTAATCGAAAATCCACTGGTGGCTTCAGGTGGCTGTCTCCTTGAATACTGCTCACCTTGATTCTTCTGGGTGAGAGAAGATGTTGGTGGAAGCTGTGGGTGCTGCTCTTCTCCTTTCCACTTCCAGCTGCCTGTTGCTCTCCCTTCCCCCAACAGGCCACCCGTCTTGCCTCCAGTTCACCCCCGTGATGATGGCAGCAGTGAAGACCTACCGCTGGCAGTGCATCGAGTGCAAGTGCTGCAACATCTGCGGCACCTCCGAGAATGACGTGCGTAGCCCATGGCCCCGCGGCTGCTCCTCGGCTTTGCTCTTCTTTCAGAGTGTGCTCTCCCCGGCCCCAAAACTATACTTTTTAAAAAGAGGAGCCAGGTCCTGCCTGCACCTCCCCTTCCCAGCAGGGCTGTTGAGCCCTGGCGCGGGCATGTGTACCTGACGGTGCTACACACTCATAGATGCTAAGAACATTGGAGACAGTCAAGGTCCCAGGTCCCAGGAACTTACATTCTTTTGGGAACCAGCAATATGTGGTAAAATGAAGGCAGTTTTTCTGAGTGCTGTTAGGAAGATGAAGCCAGTATGGGGTAGAGAGAACTAGATAGCTAATTGAGATTTGAGGGTCAGTGTTGGCTTTTTTGAGGAGATGATATTCATGCTGAGATTTGGATGATTCAAAGGAGCTAGTTAAAACAGCTTTTAAGGGGAGCTCTGGTGGCCTAGTGGCAAGAAGTTGTACTGCAGTCCCAGAGGTAGACGGTTCAAATCCACCAGATGCTCTGCCGGAGAAGGAGGGACAATTTCCTCCTGTACCTGTCAGCTCCGATTTGATAGTACATGCACAAAAAAATAATAAAAATTTGAAAAAAAACCCCACAACAGCTTTTAAGGTAAAGCATTCCCACGGAAGGAGCCATAGGTGCACAGAATAGAGTGCAGGAGACACACAGAAGCCATGAGATGAATGGAGGCTAGTGTGATCTAGGTGAGAGGTGACGACAGTGTGGTCTGGAGTGGAAGAGGACAGCAGCAGTCTCCTACGTGTCTCTCTTCCTTCATCTTACCTTCCTCTACCTGCCCAGTGTCTCAGAGCTCTTGTTCCTACCTAACCCCATGCTCTCGACATCCTTTGTCCTCTGGCACCCTCACGCCCCGCACTCTTGATGCCCCGGTACCCTGAGACACAGCATTTGTTCAGAACCCCCCTTCTTGCCTTCCCAGGACCAGCTGCTCTTCTGTGATGACTGTGACCGTGGCTACCACATGTACTGTCTCACACCGTCCATGTCCGAGCCTCCTGAAGGTACGTGGCCCAGATCATTTACCCAGAGCAGTGATATTATTAGTAATACAGCAAGTCATCCATAATATATGTCCTTTATATTACCAGTTATTTATTTTTCAAAATTAGAGAAAAAAAGACTTGGTCTTGCCTCAATTCGGTATACTCTTCCAGCATCTCAGCTGGAGACATTTACACATTATCCCTCGATGTATTTACAGTCTGAGAAAACAGACATTAAGCAAAGAGCACTTGTGCAGAAGGACATACGCAGCAGTGGCTCTGGCCCAGCAGGGATTACAAGGAGGGCCGGGGTCGGGCTACGTTTCTCTTGTACGTGAGATTGCTGTGAGTTGGAGCCAGCTCGGTGCCTCCTGACAATCCAGGAAGCTCAGTAGCATGGCTGAGATGAAGCTTTCCTGTCAGCTCTTTGTTGATTGTTTTTTTTTCTTTTTCTAATTATTATTAATTTTAATGAAAATTTACGGAGATTTTGGATTTCCATTCATTCACTGTTGCATGTGTCAGCTCTTTGAATCTGACAGATTAGAGCAGGTATTTCCTCTGTCCTCTAGAGGGGACTTGAAATTGGAGATTGCATGAACCACTCCTCGTCAGTGGACTGTTCCACATAGCTCTGAAGGTCTGAGAAAAACTGAATCAAGTCCTCCAGAATTATGTACAAATACACATATGTGTAGTTATGTTTCTGTTATTGAGCTTGTATCTCAGAAGACACATGGAAGATTCTCCCCATAGTAAATGTTAATAAAGAACGACCTGTTTTTCTTTGGAAACTGTTGTTGTTGTTCAGTGCCATTGAGCTGACAATGACTTAGTAACCCTGTGAACAATAAGCCTGAACCTTGTCCTGTCTTGTACTGTCCTCAAGATCTCTGTCATGCTCAATCCCATGATGGCAGTCAGTGTGTCACTGCCTTGCTGATTGTCCTCTGTGAAACCAGAAGCTCAACTCTGCTAGTAATAGCTTGGAAATTCATGGTTCACCTCCTGGTCTTATCAGTCAGCGTTGCTGTGGCCCCTCACTGGTGATCAGGAGCCCGCTCATCTGCTGCTGCTGCTGACAGAGCCCTGTTGTTGTTGAATACTGTTGAGTCGGAACCAATCTGTAGCTCACACTCCAGTGGATTTTCAGAGGCAGTTAATTGTACAAGAGGAGATTGACCGCCAAAGCTTATGTTAACCCTTCACGGTCTTTATGCTTTCCTGTGGGGCCAGGAGAGCAAAGTCTGACCTCCTGTCTTCTTGCATCTTGAGGTGGGCACATTGAATGATTACATAGACTGGCCCTGCTCCCAGCCATTGTGATTTAAAAGGACTGAGAGGGCCTGGGCATCTCTAGTCTGAACGTGTCCTACAGGTGACTGGCAGCTGTTTTCTTTTCCTTTGATAAGTATTTTTTAAATGATACTTATGCTCTGCATGACCTCTTTTTTTTTCTATAATTATATTTTATTTTCATAAACATTTACAGAGATTTTGGGCTTGCACTCATTCATTGTTGCACTATTCTCTCTACCCTCCTCCCAGTTTGTTCTTGTCCAAATGCCACAGTGCTTGTCAAAGTCAG